GTTCTTCCTTTCAGGCACACGGAGAGGGAGGCGTGTGTGCCGCCTCCTCCTTCCCTTCTCCCAGGTATTTGTGAGACTCCCTGTCACTCGTGACAGAGGATTGCAGCAAAGAAATTGGCTGTCCCCCACCTCTCCAGAACCAGCAAAACTGACTGCCGAGGTGTCCGGGAGAGCTTGAGAGATGGGGAGCTCTGGGGTACTGTTCTCCTGGACCTGTGCCACGTGCAGGAGTTAGGCGCAGCCCTGGCATAGGAAGTGCTGCAGGACGGGAGGGACCTGAGGGACTGGAAGGTGCAGCTAAAATGCATCCCAGTGTAAACCTTACCTAAGATACTCAAATATATGAAGTGCCTCTGAGATGATCTCTCTTGGAGAGAGCTGCTGCTGCTAGGGGGCAGGAATGGGCGAGTGCCTCACAAGCTCTTTCCTTGTCCTTGCCGTTTGGGAAGGGATGTGGGACGCATGGCCACCTGACATTTGTCCTTTCCTCTTGGCGGTCCTTTGGGATGCTGCTGCCTGCCAGCCACCCAAGACCTGCAGCACTCCATCCTCTAGCCCTTCTACTGCCATGCAGAGAACCGGGCAACTGCAGCTTTTAAAAAGTCTGCTTGCAAATACAGTCCTCTCTGCTTCAAATTCTCCTCAAGCCTGGCTTGCCTCTTTCAGGAGGCTGCACCTCCCGGGGAGCCAAATGCACTCCCAGCAGCAAGCCTCACCTAACGCATTCAAATGTCTCTACCAAGGACTGCATTGAAAATGAGCTGCTTTTGTTCTATTATTATTATTATTTTGCACAGTAAAAGCAGAAGCCGAGTCTGCATCTCCTCTGCCAATGGCTCTGTAACCATGTCTTTTTTGTTCTGTGTCTTTTAATTTTGGCTGCCGGGCAAACATGGCGTTGTGCCACGTAGTTAGGAGCATGGGTTAGCGTCGCGGTCCTGATTGCTGCCCTCCTGCACCACGATGACCCTCCCGAGTCCCTCCCGCAGGCACCACTGGCTCTGAACTTAGGTTTGACCACTTTCGTTGTATTTTGTGGCCTTTGCCAGTGATTAATTGTAATGCCATAAGCATCTCTTGCATCTGCTGTACACAGGATTACTTTGATGTGTGGTGGTGATTGCTGATCACTTGATTGATGTTTTATAATCACGTGTATTCTAGATGAAGTTCTCTTCTGGCTTGCAGGGCCCATTGTGAGAAGTGGAGGCAAACTGCGGGGAGGAAGGGAAAGGCCTCTTAAAACACAGATGTGACTCATTCTAGAAATTAAGATTAGAGCTTGGTGATTTTTAGGAAAAGACAGAACTCCGAAAGAACTTTTTTTTTTTTTTTGAAAGATCTTCAAATAACGGAGAAAATCTATTTCAGGACCTTTCTGTGGATGCTAAACGTAGCCAGCAGATAACTTCATCATACTGCACTGGTTTTGTGTGTTCTTTGTAGCTGCTAGCAATCAAAGCTGACCTTACCTTGGGTTATATGTTTTGATAAATGAGTTGCCATCTGTTCCCCTAATTCGGAAGTCCAAACTGTATAATATCCTGATTGAAATTCCGAGTTAAATTTATTAAAAATCCACAAACCAAAAGAACCTTCAGTTTAAAATAGAAGCTGATTCTGGAGTTCCTGAGTGTGATTTTCAGTGCAATAAAGTATGGTATTTGACAGGCAGTTGTTACATGTTTTGGATTGGGATTTATTTTTGGAAAGGGACTACAAGAATACTTATCTTAGTTAAAAGATTTCTATTCAAAGTGGTATTGAAGAGGTTACTTTTCCTTGCTGAAAGAAAGTAGTTTAGGATGCCGCAGATTTGCTGTCTCTGCGGAGCACCTCTTGGGAGCTATAATGGAGGAGCTGGAGACTTAAAAGCAAAACCAATTTGCAGCGTTTCTTCGGGACGAGTTGTGAGCACGAGCCCAGCTCCCCCAGGCATGGCAGCAAGCTGCGAGCTTCACGCTCCACCGGCAGCCATTCCTAGGAGCGCGCTCTGGCCCCGACGGCCCCGCGCTGCCAGACGGCCGCTTCCTCTCGCCCGTTGCTTGCTGGCTCTGACGCTCTGTCAGCACTTGATGTTGTATAGGAGCCGCTGGGGAGCCTTTTCTCGGACTGTGACAGGTTCAGGGGGCAATGTTGCATCTGTGCGTTATTTAAACAAAACGGAAACAACAGCAAAAAACCCTAAATGAACGAGTGTAAGGAACCTCAGGGTTTGGACTGGGCTCTTCCGAAAAGGCTTGGCCTGCTGCAAGCCCCTGCGAGAGCGCAAGACATGAAGAGCCCTAGGTCTGAATTTGCACATAACCTCGTGTTCTGATTCAGCCATGTTGGCCTTAATTTAGATTGTAACTAAGCCAAAAAAGATTCAGGAAGTTTTTCACCTCGTTTTATTTTTGTTAGTCAAACGGTGATGTTAAGTACTGTGTGTTTACGGGAAGAAGGGCCATGAGGTCCCTCTCTGTGCACTAAGCCTAGGAAGACTATGACCTTTGGAGATGTTCGTTCTTCTAATCAGCCAAAAATCAAGGTGATGCTCGCAGCCATCCTTCCTCTTGCTATCCCAGGTGCTGGTGTGGCACTACTCCAAGGCAGCCTCGTTTTATCTGAGGACCCCAATTCCAAGGCAGCAGTTACTATGATGGGGAAGGATTAGCAGTAGTGCTCTCATAATGAAAATTGCCTTAATGAAAACCAAAATGTGGATGCGAGTGTGGAAACAACAGAAAACTTAGTTCAAAGGCACACTTGTTGGCAGGAAGCCTTTTTCCTGTCTCCTACCTGCAGAGTGGGTTAAACCATCCAGTGCTGGCTGGAAAGCAAATGGGGACAAACCTGTAACACCTGGATAGAGAGAACTAACCTGCAGTAACACTCCCAGCCCCGCACAGACCTCAGTATATTGTAGGTACCGGACAGCCAAACTTGGGGATCAGGTGGAGTTGTGATAACCAGTGAATCTTCCGCCAGAAATTTCCAGCTCCTGATTAGGAGTCTCCATACAGCACCAGAGCACTTGATCCTTCTGAGGAGTTGTCCAGGGAATCTTCTCATGTTTCTAACTCTGCTGATCAGATGGGTGAGTGGGCAAGATATCCTTTTCATGAGCAGCTGAGCTCTGCTTTAAAAAGCAGTTTAGGCACGCACAAGCCTATGTCTTGTGAAAAGCCCGTGGGAGGCTTTTAAAAGTGGTCATGGTTGAAAATGTGCTGTCACACAAATCCACACAAAAATTCAAAAAAATATTTGAATCTGCATAAGCTCCTTACAAAGTTTTTTGGGTTTTTTTTTTTGGCCAAAATAAATTGGGGTAGGGGGTTGGAATGAGACTGCATCTGTTGAGGGTGTTTTTTGGTTACTGCTGTTGCATTATGCAATTCAGCAAGCAGCTGGCCAAAGGGACCTTTTCATAGCATGCATTTTTTTGGTGCATGTGGCTCTGATATTTGAGTGGTCACATGCTGTTAGGGGTGTGCAGACTGTCACCAGCAATTTCTTAAACAAGCCCCAAATCTGTCAAGCCTGTGCACAGTGGAGTTCTCTGCTATCGAGAGCTGTGCACGCGGATACCATTTGCACTCGAGTTGTACGTTCAATTGCCTGTTTTTGTTTGGACTGTGGCACTTTGTGCGGACAGACTTAAAACTTCGTTTGCATAGTTTTTGCTCTTGTTTGAGGCCTGACTTTTTGTGGCGTATGTGGAAAATCTAGCCCTTTCATTTTTCTTCTCCCCCCTCACCCCCATTAGCAGTTTCTAGGAAATTAGTAGGCAATCCTGCATTGATCATCTCCAGGTTCTTTCAGTCTATGGATTTTAATTGACTATGGCATTATGAAATGCCTCGCAGGATGCCAGCTACCTCAGGGCTGGGGCAAACTGGCTGTTTAAAAGCAACGCTTTAGGGCCTGAACTGAAAGGGCGGAGGAAATGCCTGAGGACGGGGCAGGGCCTGGCCAGGGCAGCTGGTGTCGCAAGGCTGTCAAGCCTGGATCTCAACGCTCGCGAGTATTGCGAGCAAGCGGTAGCCAGCGCCGCTGATCAAATGGAGGTGGCCTCGGGGCTGCTAGCTGCCCTCTCGGTGTCCCTGCGCAGCCGGGCGGCTCGCTGCTCAGCTGCTCTCTGCCATGCCAGAGACTCCCATCCCTGCTGAAAGCGAGACGTAAAGGTCACCAGGCGTGCAGGTCGCTGCCGGTTGTCGCCTGGCTGCTGGGCTGAGGGGTTGTTGACACAGGAGCCGGTGAGGGATGCTGCTCAGGGTTAGAAAACCAGAATTAATATCTTGTGTTTTACAACAAACACCCTGTAGCATTGCCCTAAACATCCAGTGTTATGGAAACACCAGCTTAAATGTGTAGTGAATGATAACAGCTGGCGAGCTGGGAAGGCCTTCGGTTATTCCCTGAAGACCGCGGTCGTCCCTCAGAGTGCGCTATCTTGATGGGACATGCACACGAGGCGCCTCGTGTTTCTGCCGCAGAAACGTGCCGGGGACCAGCTGCAGCGGGAGGGGACAGCGCTGGCCTTGGCGGCGGCCGGGGGGACCCCGGGGGCAGCAGGGCCGGGGGCGGGGCCGGGGCCTTGGGGGCGTTTTTTTTTTGACGGGGACAGGCTGGGCATGTCAGGGCCGAAAAGGCACAGCGAGCAGGTTCGACAGGGGATGTGCGTTGCGACTCTCCAGGGGGGCTACTTGGGAGTCCAGCAGCCTGGACAGCGGGAGATAAAAGACGTGCGGGGTCCATACTGGAGAGCGAAGGAGCGGGCACCAGGCACGGGAGCTGTACTCGAGGGCTCGCGGCCCATGCTTTGCCTTGCACTACTTTTAACCGTGGGGTTTAGGGGCGTTTTGCTTTTCTTCCCGCCCACCCTGAGCTGGCACCCCTCGCAGGAGGGCAGCATTGCCGAGCGGCACCGCTTCCACGGCCGATGCGCTTGAGCCTGGGGGAAGGGCGCGGGCTGGGGGGCAGCAGCCCTCGCTGACTCTCTGTCTTTGACTCCACAGACTCACGCCTCACTATGTTTACCCTCAAGCTATCATTCAGCCCAGCGTGGTGATCCCTACCCCCGTGCAGTCTATCACGTCTCCCTACATTGACTACACCACCGCGAGCCAAGCCTATTCCCAGTACACCACCGCTGCCTACGACCAGTACCCCTACGCTGCCTCTCCCGCTGCTGGGTTTGTGGGATACGGCTACACGGGCGCAGTCCAACCACCCCTCACCGCCAGCAATCCAGCGGCGCCCGCCACGGCTTTCGTTCAGTACCAGCCCCAACAGCTGCAACCTGACCGCATGCAGTAAGGGCCCTGCCCGCGCGCGCTCGCCACGTAGGACAATCTGTTACCATGGAAGGATGTGACTATGACAGCAAAAGCAACAACAGCAAAAAAAAGTACAAAAGAAACAAAAAAGGAAAAAAAAAAAAGAAAAAAAATCCCCTCCCCCTCCCTTTGTTGTCCTCTTTATTTAGGTGCGTATCAATACCTAAGCTATTTATAGTGTTAAGGGTAAGCCCAAACCCTTGCAGTATGACTGTGCTCATGAAAAAGGACTTTGGTAAGTTTTTTCAGTCTGGACAGATGTTGTCATGAAGATATTCTTAAAGTGACTGAAAGGTTTTACAGGAAAACTACAGATTCTTGCACACTTTGCGGTCTGCTTCCATCACCCGTTGTCTTCTTTCCAGCCCCTACCCCCATCTGCCCTGTCAGCCCTCCCCTCCTCATCAAACCTGCAATCCTCTTATTTACTGTTGAGGTACAGAGGTACTCGGAGAACATGGAAAAAAGCAATCTTATTTTTTGGTTGTACAAAAACTTTGTAATACTCAGAGATGCCTTACAGAAAAAAAGAAACAGAAAAGAAAAAAACTATTTTTTAATATTTATTGCGATTTTATTCGCATGAGCTGTGAACTGCAGACAGAAGAATAGTAGTAAGTATCTGCCTTGTTTAATTCTCATTTTACTAAATTATTGTATGTAGGTAAAAGTTCCTAAGTAATTTCTGAATCACTTCAACATGCAAAAGGGAATATTGGCTTGAGGAGAGCAGAATATTCCTTTAGTCAACGCACTGTACTATTTTCTTATTTTAATTGTTACTCTGTTAAGATTATCTCAAATTTAGGTATATTTTTAAAATGCAAAAAAACAACCAAGAATACCGAACATTTTGTCTACTTCGGTAGATCTTTTGTTATAATGCTGCAACCTATGGAGACATTTACAGTATTTATGTAAAAGAGTTTTGGGGCTGTTGGCCAGCAAAGCTTAGGAGACTATCAAGAATGAATCAAAGGGAAAAAAAAAAAAAAAAAAGGTATTATGTCATTGAACAAATGGGTGAACATAACCTTTTTATGCCTATATTGCAACAGCCAAATAAAGGAAGAGAACAGACAATGTAAGTTAAGTGCATTTCTACAAAGAACAGCAATAAAATATTTTAACTTTTAAAACGATTTGATAATGTATGACACCCTGTGTGCTTGGCTAGGGTGTGTTAGGGACTACTTTCAAATGGACCTGATTCAGCTTGCATTGGGCCTTTGGCCGGGGAACGTGCCAGGGCCGTTTCGGAGCAGGCGTCCGCCCCGTGCAATGGAGTGTGGTAGGAGCCCCGGGGCCGCGCAATGCCGGCGGGGGGCCGAGCACCCGGGACGAGGCCTGAGCCTGGACCCTGGCGCAGGACCCACGTGGTCCCAGCGCTGGGCGCTCGCTCACAGCCGTGTAAAACGCTGCCATCCTGCAAGGGCAGGGTTCAGCCCTTGCACAGCTCAGGTCTAAAACCGGGATGCGAGACGGCGGCTGCTGGTGGGATCAGGTCTCATGCAGAATTCTCAGGATATTGCCAAAAAAACCACCTCACCCCTGAGCACTTTCCTCCTTTTACTGTTTAAAAGAAGAAGTTTCTTCTCAAAATTGAATCCATGCAGAAGTCTGTGGTATACCAAAGCGCTGCCTTGGTTAGGGCTGGGTGTCTGAGGGTCCCTGTGATCCGGTAGCGCTTGGGCGGGCTGCAGGCAGCGGTGAGGCTCTGGCATGGTGCTTTCACACCCTGCGCCTCCTTCGCGTTACTCATACGGCCACATTTGACCTTCCCTCACCGACTTGCTTGAGTCATTTGGTTTTCAGATTTTGACGATTACAAACTTCGAATACCTGTTTTCAAAAGTAAATAAAATGATTCTCCTTAAACATGTAAGTTATCTAATTCATCTGTATAAAAGTATAGAAAGATTTTTATTACTTTATTGCTTTGCCTTAGATTTTTCATCAGTTAGAGCAGAACTGGTGCCAGAAATCCCTGCGTCTTTGGCACTAGGGTATATTACTGTTGAGGTGGTGATGCTGCCTGACGCTGTCAGGGGAGGAGAGGGTGCCACAGGATTGAAAGCAGTGGCAGTACGGTTCTGAGTCTGATCCACTGACCTGGTGAAGCTGCAGGCAAGCATCTACCGCGCACTGACACGGTGGGCATGGCTAGTGTCATCATTAGGCCCCAGAGTAAACAGCCCATCTAGATGAATGGAAACAGTTCCTTCCTGCCTTGCTGATATTGCGTGAGAATGCAGATCGTGATGCTGTTCCATTAGTCCTGCCTGGGGTTTTACTTACAACCACACGGGTGACATTTATTTCCTTTTTAAGTAATTACTTTCTGTACACAGTTGTGGGCCTGCCAAAGGAGTAACAGTTGGGCGTTGCATCCAGCGCTGCGCTCACAGGGAGAGCGTCCTGGCCTGAGAAATCGCTTTGCTTTGAAGTGCTATCAGGGCTGGAGATTATTCAGCAGTTCTTGCTCCTCGCCCTAAGTCTTTCTGAGGGGGAGGAGGAGGGGGCAGGTTTTGGAGGCTCACAGAGCCTGAGCGTGATTGAACGCTGCGTTGGTGCTGAGTGCCAGCCCCTGGCTTCGCCCAGGACCTACTCCCCGAGTCAGCTGGGGGACCGAGGCCTCCAAAGGTTAATCTCTAGTTGAGAAATATGTCTAGTGCATTTTAAAGTTAAAAAAAAAAAAAAGTGATGATTTCCATTTAGGTACCTCTAATTTCCTGAGTGGTGGCCAAAACTGGCAGAGAGCTGACAGAGCGCCTCTTCCAGCAGCCATCCGGCCCGCTATTGTCCACAACGATTCCTGGGTCTGGCTCAGTTTTGCTCCGGGCTGATTTCTAGAAGCCACCACATCAACACCACAGCCCAGCCTGCCGGCTCCCTCTTAGCCAAAACCCAGCCGTGACGGCGTGGAGGCGCCATTCTCCACGCCCG